TTAACAGTGTATTCGGCCAGGCCTTGTAACAAAGGCTGGGCCAAACCCATGTGGCTGATATGTAGATCAATGTTTGGGTCCCATGCCTTACAAGGAAGCCCAACTGGGCAGCAATTTGGAAGGTTAAGTGAGTACATAAGCTTAATGGGCCTAAAGCCCATTTTGAACTGGGTTGTTTGTTTAATTAATTATGGGGCGAATTCTGAGATGGATCAGCTGTTAGGATTGGGCCTAAACCCTATCCACTTAGAGAGTTCAAGATCTAAATAAGATTTAGATCTGGAAACCTCCTAATTAGATTAGGAGATGGTTGATCTAATCTGCAGATAAGATAAGGGTTTATCCCTATCACCTAAAGAGAGATCTTATCCAAATATGATTTGGATAARCWGYTCCTAATWGGATTARGAGCTGATYTTTTAGGTTAACAAAAGAAGGGGGCGGCAGCCTAAGAAAGACACATCTGATTCTCTTCAGAGCTGAGAAAAATCACAGAAAGAGAGATTTCTGCACTCTGCGAATTCTCTCCTGCCGCCGCCATTGCCTTTAGTTCGATCTCCAGTTCTTGGGAGAAATCAAGATCTGATCTTGATTCCAATATTTTGGGAAAAGATTGGTTGGAGCTGCACTCACAAGCCATCCAGTTGATTTTTGCGAAGGGTCAAGTTCTTTTGGAAGAACATTGCTAATTCTGCTCCATACTGCACTGCGCCATTTTCAGTGGGAGCAGATTTTGGATCTTTCCTTGGGCGTGAGCACCTCCATTGGGAGATATTGTTTCTCCGTATCAGGTATATCCTCCCTCCTACCCCTTTTGGTTCAGATCTGATTTGATTCATGGTTTAAGATTGATCCTTGAAAATATGTTTTCAAAATAGGGAATTTGATTCCCTGCAAAGATGGGAGAAATTTTTTTTGAAATTCACCCAATCTATTCCGCAAGACTTGGACGTCCATGTGATGGATATCCCATCCCTTCAGTATGTTAGTTGGTTTGTTATAGCATAGAAGGGGGTTATTAGTGTTGTGTATCACCAAAAAAAAAATAGAGTGATGGTTAATATATTGAGACTTCTCTTGGAAATGTTAATCTCACCATATCAGAGTTCCTTCATATTAAAAGATATATTATGGATAACATTATAATTGTACATGAAATCTTCAACTCCCTTAGGAAAACTAAGGGCACTAAAACATGGATGTGTTGTAAGCTAGACATAGAGAGAGCTTATGATGGTTAGAATGGAAAT